CCTGAGCATAGACTGTATAAAAGATGGACGTAGCAACCGGCCCTGAAAAATGAAGTCAAAAACCTACGTCCGCTAGTCCTGGCTCCAAAAAGCCCTGGCTCCCATAGACTGGAATTGGAAAAGAAGTGATCACAGGTCATGAAATACTGCATTCCTCCAGCTCAGGATTTTTTCTTATTAATTTTCATGGTCAAGTCCAGAGATCAGGTGGCCAATCTGAAAATAAATCAATACTGAATTTTTAAAAAATCGTCAACATGTTGCGGGACAAGGGGCGTGGCTGGCTTGATTGACAGTCGGCAGTGACGATACAGACGAAGCGAGCAGAAGGCGGTAAATGTGGGCGGGGCCGAGAGGGCCCGCCTCTCAATCCATCTGACCAATCGCTGCTCCTATGGCTCCGCCCCCCTCCGACGATTTTTGCGTCACTGGCTCCAAAAATCCAAGATGTCAACCAGGAAGGAGCAAAACCCTGGCTTCTTTTTCTCAGTGCAGAAACCAACGGGTGACGTCACGGTAGCTACGTCCATCTTTTATACAGTCTATGCTCCTGAGTTTAAAAACATGCCTACTAGCACCTGTAAAGCTCACAAGTTAACACTGTAGGTGTTTTTCAATAAATACACATAAGATAAAGCAGTGAGTGCTGGAGATAAGCTAATCACCTCTTGGCTCCATATTTAATGCACAGACATGAGAGCATTATCAATCTTCTCACGGCAGTAAATAAGCATATTTCCCCAGTTTCAACCTTCACGCCAGACTTTATGAGAGTTCAAAGCATCATCGAGTGCATTTATTTAATGTATTTATTATGTGTTGTTCTCCCTTCATGCTTTAAAGATCCTCATGTTCATATGGTGTTGGTTTGTTTATAACCCTGCAAACAGCCGCAACTCATGTAAATCGATAAAGACGTACATCCAATAAACAAAAGGAGACCATTACTTCTCTTTACATCTCTTTGCTTTGTTAGTGGGGTATTTCGTCAACCTTTTACTTTGTTAGGAAGAATATTTAATCTGAAATATTGATGATACAAAACAGCAAGTCTTCAGGAGGAAAACTGAATAATAACACCTCCAGGCTGTGTTTTTTTTTTCTTTTTTCTTTTTGTGATGCTCTGTTGCCTGTTGATTTCAAAATGCACAATGCCCACTAGGCCTGGTACCTTCTGACACCTTTGTGGGAACCTAGACGAGAAAAGCGTGTTGTCAAAAACAATCCCGGCCGCTCCAAGCAGGCAGGTTTCGATTTTATATCAGTGTTTGTCATAAAAATTATATAAATCTCCAGAACAGGGTGCTTTTAACCCCTTGTCACGTTGTTTTTCCATTTGTCTCCCTAAGTAGCTCAAAAGCTGCACTAATCAATACTTTTACATCATTGGTAATGCAATTAAAACACTATACAATGTGAATGGGGTTTGTCTGCCGCGACAGACCCTCAGAGAATCACTCAAATGTGCAGCTCTCATCAGTTTTAGGGAATGTTTGAGCAACTTTTTGGCAATTGTTTTAGCGTTTGGTTTTAAAGTTTGATTCAGAGAAAAGTTGCTGTATTGCTCATTAGCATATTTGGGTAATTAGCATGTGTCAGATTTACCATCCTTCTTGCTCACACTGCCGCCTTTCCCTCCTATCTACCCCTCCCCCTCCCTGCCGTGCTCTGCTGTGCATGTTCACGCTCGTACACGTTCTTGCCCAGCACATGAATTAATGCTATTGTGTGGATCGGTACCAAACACTTTCTTTGTTTCCTGGATTTTTTTTTCTCAGTGCAAACACAGAGCAGATGGACTGTGAGGAGGAGATACTATATTTGCTCAATTGGACAACAATCTTTTGGTTCACAATTGCATACTTGACCTTTTACCAGCCTTGCTTCCACCCACAGCAGACAAATGCGGTAAATAAACTGGTAAACTGACTGTGTGCCACTTTTCCAGCACCGAGCTTGCAACAAATTTAGACACATATTTTTTTTTCTCAGGAGTTTGTGGAGAGCAAAACAGAACTAAACAGAGATGAGCTGCACTAACAAATGCACTCAATCTCCTGGAAGTTCTTGAAAAGATGCTAATCTGCTCTCGAGCGGAAACCAAGTTATTGTTGTTATTTTTTAACATGCTAACATAGTGTTATACCTTATATGTTTGGTATTTTTTATACGCTGGAAGAGACATGTAGAGCAACGTAAACATCATGGCTGGATGTTTCCACCTTGAAACTGCAGCACACCAATGATGGTTTCAAAAACATGGATTCAGACTTCTGGGGTTTCAAGTGTAACAAACCTAACGAACCAGTCCTGTCAGTTTACAGAATTAGTTTCCGGTTCAAACCATAGACTGTATAAAAGATGGACGTAGCGAACGTGACGTCACCCGTTGGTTTCTGCACTGAGAAAATGAAGCCAGGGTTTTGCTACTTCCTGGTTGACATCTTGGATTTTTGGAGCCAGTGACGCAAAAATCGTCGGAGGGGGGCGGAGCCATAGGAGCAGCGATTGGTCAGACGGATTGAGAGGCGGGCCCTCTCTGCCCGCCCACATTACCGCCTTCTGCTCGCTTCGTCTGTATGGTCACTGCCAACTGTCAATCAAGCCAGCCACGCACCTTGCCCCGCAAAATGTTGACGATTTTTAAAAAATTCAGTATTGATTTATTTTCAGATTGGCCACCTGATCTCTGGATTTGACCATGAAAACTAATTTTAAAAAAATCCTGAGCTGGAGGAATGCAGTATTTCATGATCTGTGATCACTTCTTTTCCAATTCCAGTCTATGGGAGCCAGGGCTTTTTGGAGCCAGCAGCTAGCGGACGTAGTGATATTGCAGGTTTTTGACACTTCCGGGTTGGCTTCATTTTTCAGGGCCGATTGCTACGTCCATCTTTTATACAGTCTATGGTTCAAACGTGTGGCTGAAATATTCCAACATCAAATGCTCCCACTGCAGTGTAATGTGGAGTAGTTTCACAGTGTTGAGCTGGAGAGCTGGTGTGCTAGAGCTGCACTGAATGGGGAGGGGTGGATGAAGAGAAAGAGAGGCTGGGACCTCATAGATCTGTGCATTCTAGAGGAAGTTGGAATTACATCTACACCCCTTTAGGCCAGAATTAGACTATGTTCATTAAGGTGCCAAATGACTCCTTTACAAGTCCACCATTCAAAATACTTTAGCATCGTCAGCAAAATGTACTTGAAGTATGAAGCAGAAGCAGCCCACTTGTGCAGACTGTCCACTTTGACAGTCCTATGATAATGTTAAATCTTGACAGCTGTTTCTATCTTTTTTTCTTATGAGTTCTGTGTTGTACAAGGAAGTCTGTTTCATTACAACTTAGACTATTAGAATATTTGTTCTGCTACTGTGACCCACAATCTTATAAGATGTAAAGAAAAAAACCCAAACTGAATTTGAAACATTTTATTCATTTTTTTTAACACTAAAACTCAACGTGGGTGTGTTTGGGTTCCTCAAATCTACAGCTCGAGAGCCCAGGGAACAAACAAAACACCGGCTAGATTGCTGCTGTCACTGCGTCCTCTCTAAAATAAACTGAATATGTATGATAATTGCAATTATCAGACAGTTTTATCATGCACCCGCGGAGCTACTGCGGAAACTTAGAAGAGAAATTGGATTCATTGCTCTCGCAGAGATTGCCGCTGGCACCGTAAGAGCCATTTGTCTTAGTGATGTTAGAATTTCATTGGGCTCCGTTTGGATGAGGGCCAGCACCCTCATATTACAGCTGAGTGATTGGAGGGGTAAACAGTCAAACAATTAGTCTCGTTTGCCCTGTGACACCTGTTAACCCTCAGAACTCTATGCTAATGAGAGCCGTGTAATAATTTCTGTCTTGCAGACAGAAGCAAGGTGTGCTTATTAAAGTGATGAAGTGAACAGAGGCTACGGTAATTAGATGTAGAATCAAGGCCTGTAATGATTTTATCCCCTTTGCCTAAATCAACAAATCATTCCTGTTTGGTCCACTGAAGCAGATGCATTATTGTAGATAATGATGGCAAAGACACATCCGAACCTTTTCTTTTCACATTGTTGACCGCTGTAAGGGAGGAATCAAGACAACAGGAGGCGACGGCTCATGTTGTAATTACCTGTTTGGAAATAAAAAGGAAGAGATGAGCTCAGCAGATTAAATCTATTTTCGGTTTGCGTACCTGAACGCTGCATATGTGACTGTGTTCCCCAGATAAATGCTCCTAATCATCAGCGGCTTGCATATACACTACCTGTATGTGTGCAAAGGCCGTGTGCGAGCTCGTGGGCTCTCAGGGGAAATGCCCACAAAGGCTCTCGTTTTAGGCAGTAAGCTAATTAAAGCGGTGGAGCAGATGGTGCAGACTTGGTCCGGACATAATGAGACGGTGAGTGGCGAGACGAACCGGACATGGCAGGACAGCTGTGAGGGGTTTGTGAGGTGACCAGAAATCAGGCCTCTCCCAGGAGTGAGGCTTTGCTTCCAGAGAGTGGAACTACAACCGCATGAAAACTTTTGGGCAGCTTTGAAAGAAGGATCAGGCAGTGTTTATTTCACCCATTTATGTTTTTTGCAGAACAACTTTTACTGGAAGCGAATAATACCACGCCAGCGGGGTGTTTTTATCTTTTTTTTTTCCTCCCTCTCATCCTCAATCATTCGATCGTGGCAGGTGGTTTTTGGTAAACACCAAATCCTCAGCACCTGTTGCCAGAAGCTTTTCTTTTCTTTCTGCCAATTCTTACCAACTCTGCTCCAACTGCCACGCTGTCCCACTGCTGGGAAACCTAACAAAAAAAAAAAAAGAAAGACAGCAGCCTCAAGTGTGAAATAAACAACTGTGCCATTACCAAAGTGGGTGTTCTTCATGGAAGGAAGTTAAGTTGCACACGACAACAACAACAACAACAATAATAAAAAAAAAAAAAACGCTCACAAAAACAAGAATTCCTAGAGGTGCAGAAATACTCCGGACAGCTCGTCTCAAAAGAGATGTTCCACACTCCTGTCGCGCCTCGTCCGAGGAAGAGGTCGAGGTCAACAGAAGCCGGTGTTCTCAGGCATGAAGAGGTGAAGTTTGAGGATGTCAGACTGCACCTGTTGGAGAGGAAAATGGGCAGCAGCAGGAGACGCTTTCTGACCCAGCTGGCCAGGTCAAAGGGCTTTATTGTGGAAGACGCTCTCAGGTTAGAAAAAGCTTGCCATTTTGCTGTTCGCTGACTGAGCTGGGCTCGGCGCCTAAAAGCTTTTTCTGAATGCAAGACCCAAAAAGAACACGCTAATGTAGAACAGAGAGGCATGCAGAGGTATTTTTTTTGGGAGGGGTGGGGTTCGGGCTTTATGGTGCCAGACAGGATTGTTGACTTTAAAGGGCCTTTTTGTAATCCTGGTGGAATGGAAGGTCATCATAGTAATTGAATGCCCGTTTCAGCGCGGTTCCGCTGTCGAAAAGTCAGGAATATAAATGCAGGATGAAGGCTCATTTTCATGCATAAATAAACAGTCATTTATAGTCGGGGGGGAGAAGCAGTTAAAATGTTATAAATTTTGAATTTAAATTGAACCTGTGGCCCAGATGTGTACAGTAAAGACTGATGAGGCTGGAACAGAAACATGCCGGGACACTGTTGAGACAACCAGTGTTAGTTTGTGGCGTTTTCTCACAAACTTCTTTTTTTTTAGTTAGGTTAAGGTCCAATTAGCTAATTAGAGAGCCAGTATTGTCTCATGAATAGTTAATTAAGAAGGGTTAGGGCATCCATCCTGCCTCTGCCTCACCTTAGTGAATTTCCCCCCCGAGCCATAACTCACAGCTCCTACACAAATACATTTAAGGAAGGGGAAGAAATTGGCTAAACCAGCTACAGTGGGAAAAAAAAAGTGGCAGTGAGAAAACATTAGAAGAAAGGTAACGGAGCACACACACAAACTTTTTTAATGAGTTTGGCGAAAGTTTTTCGTTCACTTAAGAGGAGATGTTTTGTGAGCTTGTTCGTGGCGATGATGAATCATCTATTGTGTGGTAATTATGGAAGCGGCATGCCTTTTTTTTTTCCTTTTTTTTTTCTCTATCCCTAATTGAAAGTATCTTTTAAATCCCAAACTGTGAGCGCAGCAGAAGTCCCCTGCTTGACACCAGCGAGGGTTCAGAGCCGGCCTCCTTTGAGGCTACCCATACTGTTGATGCAACCTTCCATTCTGTAGACATCGGCTTTGTGTTAAGGCCTGGGCAGCTTCAGCTGAGCAGGTGTTTGGGTATTCCAATGTTTCCTTCTTGCTTTTACTGAGGCTAGTTTTTTTTTTTTTTTTTCTAAAATAACATTACTTTAAGGTTAAAAAATTGTTGAAGTTAAAGCATATGATTTAGGTGCTTTGTGTAGTGTGTAGTCAAAAAGCCCCCACGAGTATAGCACAACCAGTGTGTGTGTGTGTGTTTAAATGTGTGTCTAAGTGTGCCTGCCAGCCGTGCGCCAGCTTGGCCATGGCAGCATTCCCAGAAACACAGCTTGAGCGCTCCTACGGTTACACTTGGCTTGATACAATTGTTTGAAACCAACGACAGGAAGTAGAGCGTGCCTGCCTCAAACTGACATTAATTCTGCAAGCCGACAAAACTGATATCAGCTGCAGTTTGATAGCAACACCTCCCGTATCTGTCTAACACAAGTTATAGGCAGACTGCCTTGAGCATATGGTCAGATACGCTGTGTGCTTTCCTCTGCACATAAAGGAATGTGCTCTCCCTCTTTCTCTCTCTCTCTGACACACACACACACACACACACACACACACACACACACACACTCACACACGTCTCCCCTCGCCCAAGTTTCGAGCCTGATGCACATGAACATGAATCCAAATATCGACATGTTTGTCCTGGTTGACTGATGAGCCGCATTAAATGCTGTTTCACAAATGGCAGACACACAAACACTGACACACACTGATGTTATGGCCCTGCAAGTTTACGTTATGGCCACTAGTTTTAATTATTTCAGCGTCGTTACGGAGGAACCACGTCGTGTCCGTCAATTTGGCACGCCGAAGAGGTCCAAACACAACAATGCTCAGGAGGCTTGGGCGTCATTGCTTTGAAGCAGAAGCCAGTCAGAGGCGTGAATGGGAGGGGAAGGGAAGTCAGAACGCTTTGTTGTTGCATGTGTTTACCAGATAATAATGTGGCTGCTGAATTTTTACCAAACTGAACCAAAACCAGCCGTTAGTAGCTTAAAAGTTAAAGAAGGTAAAAATAAGTGATTAAATACTTCCTGTCAAAATACACCTTGATAGTCAAAAAAAATAAAAAATAAAAAAAATGTAAAAGCTTGCTAGTAGCTGCTTTTGACCATTATTAAAAATAAAATAAAATTGCAGAACAACTTGCTTCATAACACATTTGTTAATCATTTGATGTGACAAAAGAGTTTTTTGAAAATCCCCAGCAACTTGCAGCTCCATGGGGAAAATTAATAAGACTTTTACTTCTGGAACAACTAACTCTATAAGGTTTGCAACATAAGGTTGACCAACCCTCCATGACATAACCCAGAGGTTTCCTGAACAGTGGTTTTGAAACTAGTGTGGTGGCTCTTACTGTCATCGTCTTGGCAGAGCCTGACCCCTTTCAAATCCCAGCAAATCCAAACATGAACAGAGGTGGAGCCTGACTGCAGTGGGCAAACACTTTTAGGCCATGAACCGTCCTGTGATGGTCTTATTTGTGCATAACCTTGATACAATTTAAATGAGTGAAGTATATAAAAATTCAACTCCTGTACAGTTGTCATTGAACAAGAAAGTTAACAATAGAAGCCACAACTGTTTTCTGTACCAGGCTGTAAACATGTTTATTTCTGCTGTAAAGTTGAACATTTCAACATGGGGGTCTGAGGGGATTCACTCTCTGTTGGAGCAGCCCCACATGGCCATTGGAGGAAGTGCAGTTTTTGTCAATTCAATTTTGCCAATTTTCAGCCTTGAAAATTGCTGCTCGGTCTGCATTTAAGCTTCAGGGCTATTGGTTCCAATAATTTTCTTTATTAGTTAAGTAGTTTACAGCAATAAATCATGTAGATTTACTCTGGATTCTTAGCCATTTTCATAACAACTGGTTCTTGATTTCAGAACAAATACATTCTAGCTGGAAACGGTTGACTTTGTTGGTCAAGGGACAACTGTCACCAGCACGATTACATTGGTCTCATTAGTTTTTAAAAAAATACAAGGAAGCTTTTAAAATTCAAAAGCTGTTTATGGGCATTTAAAAGCATTCAGCGTCTACATACACATTCTTGCTGAGATACTGGATTTACAGCTAACTGCTCCCACCGTGTCGGCATCCTAATCAATTCATGATCCAAGTAGAAGATATAAAATAAAGTCTGAGCATCGTGAGTATGATAAGTAGAGATTAGCTTGTTATCTTGTTTAACTTAAAAATGTAACATAAACTGCAGACCTGCAAAACAATGTGGAGTTACATTCTTACATTTTTGGTTCCAGTCAGGGTAAAGACAAACATAACACCCCAAACTCATTGTATACGGTATTGCGTGTGCTACATCCCCATGAACTGTGTTTCATCGGGCAGAGAAATCCAAAAGCTAGACTGGCATGCTCTGATTAGGCAATTGTAGTTTGGAGGAGTGGTTAAACCCACTTCTGTGTATCAAAATGCAATAGAATAGAATAGAACTTTAATTAGACAGATAGAACTTTATTAAAATGACATATTCAAAAGTTTTATTCCATGAAAATAATACTTCCTACCTTAAAATAGCTTAGATATAACTCTGTACTGTTGCTTCCTTTAGAATGTGCAACTCAATGAAGACACCAGCTCACCCTTGAACATACTGTAAAACACCGTAAAGCTACTCCACACTGCACAATAGCAAGTTGTAACATTGGAGATATTCATGTTTGAACTGGAATCTGAGGAATGTAAAGCTACAGAAAGCTCTGCTAGTTGACTGGATTGGTTCTTTAGGTTTGTTGCATGGAACCGTGAGGTAGTTGTTGAGAAACTCATCAGTAAACTATAGTTTCCAAGGAGAAATGCTCAGACACAGCAATGACTGCTTATTTCACTTATGATGTGTCTTCCAGCATATAGAGAACACAATGCAGACACGTTCCATCCATCCATTATCTATACACCGCTTAATCCTCACTAGAGTCATGGGGGGCTGGAGTCTATCCCAGCTGCCTCAGGGTGAAGGCAGGAGACACCCTGGACAGGTCACCAGTCTATCACAGGGCTACACTTAGAGACAGACAACCAAGCACACTCACATTCACACCTACAGACAATTTAGAATCACCAATTAACCTCAACGTGTTTTTGGACTGTGGGAGGAAGCCGGAGAACCCGGAGAGAACCCACGCTGCACGGGGAGAACATGCAAACTCCATGTAGAAAGATCCGGTGACCTTTTAGCTGCGAGGCAACAGTGTTAACCAATTGCACTACCTTGCAGCCCGCAGACATGTTCACAAGGTTAAAATATTGATTTTCAGTGGAGACAGTCCTCAACAAAAGGCCCATTGGCCGCCTTCCTTATGTTGTTCACCTGTGATGTCACATCTTAGGCATCAAAACAATTCTTCTTGAGTGACTAAAATAATCACTTTAGTTATGTAAATTCACATATTCATTTACTTATCAAGCTATTTAAAAAAAAAAAAAAAGAATTTCTTACAGCAATCATGCACATGTCTTTGTAGATGAAGGAGCAGGTGCACAAGGTAAATAGATGAAACCAAGCCACAGTGTGAAAGTCTGTTCTGGACATACTACACTGTTGGTTTTCACATTTGGAAGGAAGAGGAGGATAGCTGCTGACAAGAACAGGGCAGAGAGATGACTCCAGAGAGTTCTCCATATCAAAGCCCATTGACTTTAGCCTGTCCTTGTGTCTGGGCTCAGAGTCCCACTGATTCTGGGAAGTGCAATCTGGTGCCGGGCTTGCTTTCGCACTCATTTGCATGTCAATCTTCCATTTTGCATCCTGTGCAGCTACACATTAAGATGAGGATCCAAATTTTGGGAATGCAATATATCTAGGTGGCTTAAGGAGGGCGTTTTTTTTTCTTCTTCAGTGCTTCTTGCTCCAACATAACAATTCAACCCCTTGTGATTTTAGTGGGAAATCAACCCGAGAGCCAAATCTCTATTACTGTGGTTAGACAACTGTTCACGCCAAGTGAATTTCAGCTTTTGGAGATAATAGTTGTGTCCCTTAAGTACTTCAGATGTCTGTTTGAGGAGCTCTTTGTCCACGTCTTTGTGTTGAGGAGGATTTTTCAGTTTTTTTTGAACATGCAACATCGGTGGCCAGACTGGTATGTCGAACAGATAGAGGATTAGTTTCGCCAGTGATTTGGCCAATTAGGCCTCAGCCTGAGCTCTGCTGAGACCTCCCTACAGGGGTCTTTCCACCGATTTACCCACGCCAAGAGAGGAAGAGGAGGAGCATGCTGAGGGGTAATTATGCATGGCTGGGTGCCCTGATTGGGTACGGTAGTAAGACGCCGTGGCTGGAAGCAGAGAGGAGGACGCCGCGATAAAAAGTCTGCTGAGAACGTCTCAGTGGAGATGAAGGAGGCGCTGGTTGAATGAGTTCAAATATCAAGCTGCGGAGGAAGGCACTGAAGGTCTGTGGTGATTGTTTACCCAGTGTTGATCCCCAAACAGCACAAGCAAGACTGTGATGCTGAGATCTGAGCTGCATTTCAAAAGCTTCACTCACACCCGTGCGCTCTCTGAGGGCTGCCGAGACTAAGACAGGAAAGTTCTTTTTGTTAAATCGAGCGGTGAAGGGAAAATCTTTCAATCATGCCGCAGTCTGTCTGTCTCGTGAAGGGATCACTCTAGTCGTGATTCCCATTAACATGTTGATGATCTGACTCATGAGCACCCTGTAGTCATTACTACATTATTACATGAATACTGAGCGAGCACTTGAATCAATACCTAAGACGGAGCAGAAGCACCGGAGAGGCAAGCCAGGGAAAAGCTTGGGCTCCTTCCAAGGAAAGGAACCTGTAATGGCTCCTGATTTAGGCACATTTTTCACGATACAATGCATCATCTATTCCCCCCTCAAACCCCTTAGTTAGTTGGGGAAGATAGCACCTCGTCTAGCTACTGAGCTCAACCATGATGTGCACCAAAAGAACCACAAATAGTAGTTAATCATTCCAATTCTATGAACACAAAGGAAAGAGAAAATTTGTTATAATAGCCTGTGTGGTAAATTTTTAAATGAAAATACAGGTCGAGGATTGGGGCACCACTATAGCTCACCTGTTTGAGCTGGCGTCCCATGTGCAGGGCTACAGTCCCAATGTGGAGGTCATGAGTTCAAATCCCGCTCATGGCCGTCTCCCACACCTCCTCGCCCCACTACTTCTACCCTACTTTCCTGTCTGCACTATCCAATAAAGGCACAAAGGCCAAAAAAATAACTTTAAAAAGAAAATACAGGTAGAGGAGAACTCAATGACAACAAAGAGTAGTCCAACCAATCAGCATCTGTCTTCCCAGAACTTAACTGATCAGCATTGAGACTCAACCAGCAGATCTGGTCAGAAGTTGGTACTTTATACTCACCTGAAAACAACCCTGAAGGAGGTTCCACAGAAGTTGAACTTTGTGGCATCCTGAAATGTCCCGCAAGTTTCTAGGAAACCAATTGGAAGCCTATGGATACTTGGAAAGTGCTCGAAATGATGTGAAATCCCTAAAAACCACAACTGTCAACATGCTGGGTTTGGACCACCACCACTCATCCTCAAACTCGGCCTTCATTTTGACCTGTCAGGTTTGATGGCTGCATCTTGTCCTGTTGACGGAATCCACCACTGACAGACATGTAAACACATGCCAAAGTACTCAAAACCGGATTTGGTGGGAGTTCCTGCTAAAGTATGCGCAACACAAAAAATAACTTATTGCCCCCAAAAAAGTATTTTCTAAATCAAGTTGACAGATTTGGTTGCGTCACATTCAGAGATTTCTGTATCAGTGGTTTTGTCTGTGTTGCTTTCACTAGTTTGGAAAAAGGTGATGTCGTGTTTCCGTGAACCAATCAAATATTGGCAAAGCTGAGATGGCAGCTGTGCTTTTAGATTATTGTCAAATACGACGAGACCACTTCCACGCTGATGAAGCCGATTAGCTGAGCTAATAAATGATACATAAAGTTGTTTTTTAAAAAAAATCAATATCTGTAAATCTGTGCTTACTTGAACATTTAACATTAAAGTGAAGCAATTAAAGTTGGAAGCTATCAGGGGCTTTTAGGCAGCTATAATCAATAGTTTTATATTTATTTTTAAGCATGCATGAATACCTGTGGAAGGGTTTGCTCCTGCTCTGCAATCCTCCACAGCACCACGGAGCTTTTATAAACATGTTTTAGTTATCGCTTTTTGATTTTGTGATGGTTTGATCTCACTGCTGCAGACAGCTGTTTTCAGACATAGCTAGCGGCTAGCTTTTTTTTTTTTTTATATCTTATAATCTTTAGATTTTTGTGTTTTTATACTGAGAGTGACTTAATGCAAGAATTTCACTGAATAGACACCTGTGTTTACTTTACAGATACGGATACATTTGTACTGGGAAAAGTAATGCACCAGTACCCTTGGGTGTTGACTGAACTGAATAAAACCATCAACTGATCTCTGAGCTCTTCTTCTCTCCTCCCCCCCCGGCAGCGATGCGGTCACTCACGTGGTGTCTGAGGAAAGCCAGGCTTCATCTCTTTGGAAGTGGCTGAAGGGATGCGATCTGAAAAATCTACCTGGGATGCACGTATTGGACATCAGCTGGTTCACTGACAGCATGAGAGAGGGAAGACCTGTTGCTGTGGAGACCAGACACCTCATTCAGGTTTGTGTGTGTGTCACAGAAATACCTCGACAGATAAAGGTTTAGCACTAGATGGCACTAGGAACCAAACGGGAAATGATCACTCGAGGAAACACCATCATGTAATGCCTTAAAATGAAAGATATGCATATTGTGAAGGTGTATCTGATATATTCTGCATTTTGGTACATGTGTGCATCTTCCTCCCTCTGCAAATGTATAATGTCAACCCTTTGACAGGCCGCTCTTAACAAGAGGACACTTCTAACTCTCTGTCTCTGCTCATATTTCCACACTTCACCTCGCTGATAGCAAGAGAAACATCCTCCATATTGCGTGGGAGTGTCAAATGAACCCATCAGCTGGATGTCAGGGCTCAGAGCAGCCCACTAACAGAGACACATACACATGCTCGCAGACGCACACATATTTTCCCCTGTGAATGGCACTGTGAGAGCTTGGCAGCATATGGATCTAAAATAAAGAAATATGCTTTCTCTTTCTTCCCTCCACACTGAAGAGAAAAAAGATTCGCCAGTTTGCCAGGCTCCATCTCCGTTCCCTCCAAGCAGCCTGTGACTGTGTTGACGGTCACGATAAGATTGCATCCATGTCAAATACCCCCCCACCCCACCCCAACCTACCCCCAAAAAATGCTTTTGTCTTGCTCTGGCATCGGCGACGTACGTGTGGCGCATCAGTGGCACGCTTTTAGTCGGCTGCATCATTAGGAGACAAGGCTAATGATGCCATGCTGACATTTATTGACCCATCTCCCCAGGTAACAACAAGCCCACTTCTCTGCTTGTTTTGTGATGCAGCTCCTCTCCGAAGCAAATGAGGTAACGCGCGGCGGCATTTATGTGCGCGGCACTTCCAGTAGATTGTTTTTTATGAGTGATAAATCCATTTAAGGAGCTATCATGTAAAGATAAAATATTCCCCAAACAAGCCACTTCTTGGGCACATTTGCCTGCGGCTCTTCATGATAGTCTAAAGATGCAATGTGTTTTACTATCATAAATATTCTACAGCCAGTCAGGGAGGAATTTTAAGTATTAAACCCACTGAAATGTAATATTTTCCATTTCTTCCTAGTGTGCAGAGAGGCAGTTTAGCCTGTTTAAGTGGAGATTTGGTAGGATGCGAGAATACCTAGCTTGAGAGGAATGAAAAATAGAAGTGAACGCCGAGGATTCAGCCTTTGCATCTGGTTGGTGAACATGTGTTTGCCCTCAGTCTTAGGAGACAGGTGGGCTCAGTGGCTGTTTGTGGGTTAGTGCGTAGGTGCAGGGCCAAGTAGTTTCCCTGAAGAGGTGGAACCTCGGTAACCTTTGTCCTGCTCAGCGGCCTGAGAGGATTTCATTAACCCACCTGAGTGGGCTCCTCCGCCTATGTGACAGGCATTAACGTGGGGGGAGGAACAGGCCTGGAGTGTCTCTACGGTTTAGAGCGCACGAGTGGGCGAGGTCCTGAAACGCTTACTGTACCTTTTCATCTCTGCAGATGGTATGTGGAGAAATGAAGCCCCAGTGTGTCGACTGCACACATTAGTTTAGTTACATCTAAGCCATACAGCAAAGGTGGAGAGGACACTGGAGAGAAGGCCAGGAGGGGATACGCTGCCTCTGAGATCTGAGAACTTCCACACAGTTATAGGCCTGTATAATAACCGAGCCCAGATGGGGAAAACCAGCCTCTGCATGCTGATGCACAGACGTTTGTCTCCATGGACCCACAATCCCATATTGGATTAAACAAACTGCAGCTGAGGTGGAAAAGTGATGGAGAACCCCCTGTTGTATTTAGAGGGAACGCAGTTAGGGAGTTTTCTAAGGCAGTTTTACTTTTGATTGGCAGAAAAATTGTGCCGTGAAATATATTCAAAGTTATTCATTTTTTCTTTTTTTTTTTTTTGGAGAACGGCTAAGGCTACTGGCAGAGAATAAATGATGAACATTTTTTGAATCCCTTACTGATTGATTCAGCCCAGCAGTGTGAGAGGTACTAGCTCTTTTCATTATCTTTCTGAGACACCCCTGTTCCTCCTGCAGCATCAGTCCCAGTCAACACTGTGTGGTGACAATCTCTCCATCTTCCTCTTCCTCCTCTTCCTCCCCTCCCTATATCACTCTCCCACCCAACACAAGCGTAATTTTATGGACACAATGTTCCCTTTTGTGATGTCTAATTGTCTGCAAGAATATTAATATTACATTAGTAATCCTTTTGACACATATATTACAAACGGGGAACCATTTCTTCATAGAATGAAAAGGCAATTTACAGGAGGCAAATTGGATGATGGCAAGCAGATTTGTAATGCCACGGGTTAGGTAGCGTAATGGATTTGGATGCCACCAGACTGTGAGATGAGTGTCATTAGCCTGTTGCCCTGGAGACACACAGTCATAAAAATAACTTCTCCAAGGCAAATGGCTACATTTTTATGTAATTCAATTTGAACTCTTGGCTCTGTGCTCGTCAGGAATAGCCTTACACACATTTACACATTTAGCCTGTCAACTATTTGAGCTCAGAAATTAAGATGATAAATGAGTGTGTATGCATGAGTCTCTGGGTGTTTTGTACACAGGATACCTCGCCCACACTGCCAGAGGCTCCTGCACCCACCCCAGCGTCCACCGTTTCTCAATACGCCTGCCAGAGACGGACCACCACAGAGAACTACAACAAGATTTTCACAGTAAGAAGCTGCCTGTCTAACCTCACTCTGGACACAACTGCACTTTCACATGTTCAGACACCAGAGGCTGTCGCTCCTACTTTGCAATGTAAAAAGCTCCCTAATCTGTTCTGCTCTAATTGGATGGCTGGCTCGCCTCACTCACCAGCTCTCTGACACAACTCTCCTCAAAATACATTAACCTGCAAATGAGTAGCATCTGCAGCTGCGGCACGTTGGAGACGCAACAGCTGACATGTCCACGATCCCCGGCACGGGGGCTGGCACAGACACGCCCCGAGGCGCAGCGCGCTACGCCAAGATGGGCAATGGACGTGACACTATTCTCAAGCAATGATGGATCTGTCCCTCTGCCATCTGGTGGGCAGAGTGGGAGGGAGGAGTGGGTAAAGTGGGCGACTGAGGATTCGATGCTCAGGTTCCTCCACAGAATGGCAAAGTGGTTAATTGGCTTAGGTGTTGATGAGCGTGAAAGAAAGGGGAAATGATGCTGCACCGATAATGGCAATTTAGCTGCAGGTGCAGAGTGAGAAACCAGCCACAGAGCAGGAACAAGCCGGCGCCAACATGCAAACAGTGTATCTACCGAACCCAGAGTAAGCTTTCTGTTAAAAACAAGCAATTTAAAAACCTTACCTTTGGGCTCTAGACATTTTTCAATATTTTCTGACATTTTATAGGCTACAAAATTAATCTAAAAAAAAATTCATAATGAAATAATTGGCAGATTAATCTATAATGAAAATAGTAATTAAACTAAATTTAATAGCACTGCTGTGACCTAAAGGAAATTGAGACTATATGCAAATACACATCACGGTTAATTTCCATTTAGCTTTTAGTGATGTGTCTCAGCACTATCTTGATGCTATATTTGGCTTTAAATATGAATTTGGAAGTCTGAGATGTGCAATACGACTGTGAAGTGACTGGCAAACCTGTGTGTGTGTTTGTGTGGGAGTGTGGAGACCCGCTGATGAGCTTCAGTAAGACCTATTAAGCACAGCTTACTGAGGGCCTGTGAGGCATCTGTTGCATAATGACTCTTTACTTCCCGGTGACGTTAAATGCACATAATAGACGCACACACACACGTGTACAGACATCCACCCTTGTGTGTGTTCGCGCACACGTCTCGAAACCCTTCACGAGCGCGCACCCACACACGCACGTGTTTGTCCACACGGACGGGTAGGTACAGATGTGCACACCCACACATGTCTCACCTGGGGAGGGCTGCTGTTCAATTTCTTATCCCCCGTTTCTTTCCAGGGCATTAACTCCATAATTAGCAATCCCACTCAATTTCCCTATCCCCATGATTAACTCATTATCTCTGCATAAAGCCACATCAAAGGAGGCTTTCTGATTAGAGTGAAAGGTTGCTCTGGCTGTGGACCTGAGAGAGGCTCAGGTAAAACACTTCACCGAGCCACACAGTTACTTTAACCATCCAAGTCAGATGGAAATAAAGTAAGTGTCGCCTTGCCCTTTGACTGTAAACCAAGTCCCTGTTGAGAAATAAGAACCAGCCAGGTTACAGACATAGGATATGATGCTGTCGTGCAGCAGTGCTAATGAGGTGCAAACTATTGATTAACAATGATAAAGCTGTCCTTGATCTTTCTGCTGCCCACCTAATGGCCAAGGACAGTCATCCCTGTGAATACAAGTGTCTAATGAAAAAGCTTTTGAGAGGAATGGAAACTCTAAAATGTGTATAAGTGCATATGTCTGTCTTTATTATTATTTATTTTCAATTTGGAGTGTGTGCACTTTTTACATCCTTGTGTTTATGTGCTTGTATTGTTTGTGATGTAGCAGCAAATTTAAGAGGTTATTTATCTCCCCGCTTGATTTTGGCAAATCATAACCGATATGACCAAAAGAAGTTGCACTTTCAAACAAAAACTCGTGGGATGTATCTCATAACGGACATTTGAGGATGCTCGAAGCACAATTTCCACCCATCAGCCACTACATTTAAACCGCCGACAGATGAAGCGAACAGCTCCGTTAATCTTGTTTCAATGCCGTGTTCTGCTGGAAAACCTTGGGTCTTGGCATTCACGTGGATGATACATCTGACATGTACACCAAACCAAGCACAGCCTTCCATGGCAATGGCACTCCCTGAAGGCAGCAGCCTCTCCCAGCAGCATAATGCGCCACCACACTGCAAAAGCTGCTGAGGAACTGCCCCCATGAGACAGTAAAGAACCTAAGCATCCGCGATCCCCAGATCCCAAAGCATCAGTGCGACGTGCCGGAACAAGTTTGATCTACAGACCCCACCGCACGACCCACAGGACCCAACAGAGACGCTGCCAAATTCCCGGTGCCAGGCAGTTACAGAACAACCCCAGAGGTGCCGTGTTAATGTCCCAACGGGTCAGAGTTATTCTGGCAGCAAGAGGTGGCTTTAGTGCTGATCGATGTAAACTGCAGTTCTACTGATATTAGTTGGTCGGGGGCCTTGTCAGCCAGTCGTGTATGTCATGCATGTTGGAAAGTGGCCAGAATTGGATTGCTGCTGCTGCTGCTGCTGCTTCACTGATGTTGTCAATAACATTCACTCGAAAAGTTCATTCTGACTCATTAGCAAGTTCGATGCTAGCTGCCTGCACTGCAGCGATAAGTGTTCTCAGAGCAGAGGCATGTTAAAAGCAGGGAGAATTATGAACTATAAAACCTTTACAGCCTCTACAACAAAAGGATGTTTATAGGCAGGCGAGCCACACAACGAAACCACATCGCTGAGTACCTTCTTTTTAATATGCAAATTGACATACAGCTGACTGTTAAACTGACATGTCGCTGCATTATTGCCTGACTCCTTACAGGCTGTCTGTGTGGCTCAGACACGGAGCAGAAGTCCAGTGTGTTTTTGGTACATGCACTGCTGTGTGTCATGGCTGGCCAGTACCACTGTCACCTAGCAACCGCAACCATATGAGCTCCAAAAAAGAGAAAAGAAAAAAAGGCTTTCCAGTCCAACATTTGCACATGGCTCACAAATTACACACTACTGCAGAGTTAATAATACATATTTGCTAACAGATAAATAACCTGATTTTAGATGGATGACCTTGTAGCTTTAAAGCTCCTGCTGCCGTGATTTCTTAGCAGGTGTGTTGTCCAGACTCTCATATTGCCTTTGAATAACCCTCTTTAATCAACACCATCACAACAATATACACTTTACCTTCCTCTCTCTGCAGCACAGGGAGGTTTTAATTACACTTATTGCATATTGTACATACATAAACTTATAAAATCATAAAAGTGCTGTAGCCGATAATGCAACCGTTAATTATGCAATAATGCACTTTGTTAACAATATAAATTGGTTTGGTAGAACTGTCAGATTTCACCAACCCTAAAAATGTAACACGTACCATGACAAGGATTGAACTTCCACCAGCAGGATTGGAAACTGGAGGATTTTGATGACCCCTTGAGCTCCCCAGAGGTAGTGTTTTATGCTACCGACTGCAGAGTGAATACAAATCAGGGCACCTTAAACTGCGTGTAAGAGGGGTGATCATTTTACTCAAACTGGGATCTCTTAGCGAAGTTAAATGAAGCTCTGTTGACTTGGGTGTCACAAAAATTGCTAGGAATCTTTAAAAGCCATGAAAACTTTCAGAAAACAAAACAAACGAACAAAAAAAACCCCCGTTGTATTTAAAACAATGCAGCATAACTTTTGTCTGCTTTAGGAGTTTATTCATTTTGTCGACACAAGGGTGGTAATTTGTTGAAAAAAAAAATTATTGTTGATTGTGAAGCTATTATTTCTGCTTTTATATGTCTTTATAAGATCACATCTGTTCAGGTACTATAGCTTAAATATCGCCAGTTTCACAAAAATGAAGTGAGTCAGTGGGTGAACTGACTGCAGAGAGACCTGGATGTGGTTCCAACTCCTGGCTTTGCTACCAATTGGTCCCAGGGGTTAGGATTGCAATGGAAACATCCCCTGTAGCCCACACAGGGGCACAAAACAACTCTCTGTATTACTAAGAACACATGCGCCATGGGTCCAAAAGCATAGCAAGAGTAAGCCTGCAGAGAAACGTTGGGTATTTTTCTTCACCGCTAAGCAACGAATGGTGCAAAAAGCATTTTCCCAATGGAACACCATGACAGGACATCTCTGACTCCAAACAATTCTTATTTGTTGCAAATTTGTGTTGCTTTCCTCAAGCACGGAAAAGCAATCTAGCCTGTTATGTCACCCCAATGTGGAGTCTATAGGCTGAAAGCGAATTGGAATATACACGTGCAGTGGGATGCACGATGTGGACGCAAACCTAGAAGCGAGGAAACGTTTGGTGTGTTTGGTGAGCAGTTTTCACTCAAGGGAATAGGTGGCTTCTTTTAGTCCAGCAACCAGTTTGTTCAACACAACTGGTTACAGAGTGGTGCAAACATTTCCAGAGGGCACAAATTATAGCTGTTGTTCTGTGAGAGAGGAGGTAGCTGTAATGGATTTAAAAATAAAAAGTTGTTAAAGGTTGTTAAGGTTACTTTCCATAAAGTTCCAACCCTTTTCCAACCTCAGTTTGCAGAAAATGGATACTAAACCTCAGGGACACACGCTTTTATATCCGCGAGAGAAACCCTCAATCAGAAATTTAACTAACACTGAGAGATTTGAGAGAGAACGGCTTTCATTTTTGCATCCAGAGCCCGATTGGTACGGGACTAGCATTACCTGAGGACCTCCTGTGATTTAGAAATGAACCCCCGTGTCTGTGTTTCATGCAGCGCATTTACACAGGATAAACAAAGTCTGTGTTTTGTTCCAATTTACTGGCATTATCCGGGGATATCGTACTAACAGACTGCCACTTAATACCTGTTGAGCCTGTTCAAAGACCAAATGTTCTTTACCAAATGCCGCCACGCATACCGTCCAGCTAAACATCCTTCAGGATTTTTGCTATTCTAATGGATTTGAGCTCGCTCCTTCTACGAATGGGTCTCCATGCTGT